GGTTAAGGTGAGTTCGGCATCCCAAATTATTTTCATAGGTGCGTCCGGTGTTATAAAGTAATTTTTGATGTACTTAGTATTCTAAAGTAATTAAAAAGGTACACCCATATCCTAGGCTAACAGAACACTTTTGGTTAACCGTTATCTCAAATTTGACCCTCTCTCTCTCTCTATTCTCAAAGTTGACCCTTCGAGGTTCCATGGCTGTCATCTTTGCCATCCTCCAACACTCCTCTTGTTCCACAGCATCGTCTTTTATTTCATCTTTGCCGCCTCTAAGCCTTCCTCCTTCTCCATCCTCAACCACACTCTCTCTACTTTCTTCTCTTGCCTTCGTTTTGGAATCTACCCCTTTGATGATACCTCCGTCTCCGGCCTCATCTCCTCCTCCATAAGCTCTGCATTGGACAGTCCTCTCAGCTACAGTCACAACTACCTCGCCAACATCCTATCACCGTCCATCTGCAAAGTCATCTACCTGGACTCCGACTTGGTCCTCATGAACGACATCACCAAGCACACTATAATGCTGCTTGGCTTCGATTTCGTCCTCGCCACACCAGAGTACTGCAACGCCAATTTCACCTACTACTTCACGTTGTCATTTTGGTCAAACCCGTCTCTGTCGCTCATGTTTTGCCGGTCGGAGGGCTTTTTATTTCGACTGTGATCGATCTAGAGCGATGGCGAGGGGGGGATTACACAAGGAAGATTGAGGAGTGGATGGAGCTACAGAAGAGAACGTGGATCTACGAGCTGGGATCATTGCCAGCATTCTTGCTGGTGTTCGCAGGAAACATCATTCTGGTACAAGGGATTGAGAATGAAGGGAGAGAGGGAGTCAACTTTGAGGGGTTAACAGCAAACAAAACGGTTCTGTTAGCTTGGGACGTGGCTATACTGTTTTAATTACTTTAGAACACTGAGTACACCAAAATTTACTTTACGATACTGAACGTACTTGAGAAAATAGTTCGAGGTGCTGAGCGTACCTTAACCCTTTTAAAATTTTAATTTGATTATATTTTTGGAACTTTTATATTTTGTGTGAAACACAAATATCTCCAACAATACAATGTCTTGGTCATATAAATGAAGAAAAATTGACACAATAAGTTCCATTTGACAAAAAAATTCATTACATCTCTATTTCCCACAATTTATAAACAAATTGTATGATTATAAAATCTTTAATTTGTTGGATGTGCATGTGTTGTTTGAATAACTTGTTGGCCGTACTTCTGTTTTTGCGCACGCAAGCATTTATTAGGGTGGCTTTTTTAATTCCTTGTATGAAATTATAGGAATGAACGACACATATATAACATCAAATACCAATTAACTTGAAATATTTTTTGGTTGACCTCTAAATTGACCAATGCTTTAAATTGAAAAGGTTGTTGAATTGTCTTCCTCACGCCACGCAGCAAAATTTTCTAAATTCTTTAACAACAAATATTTCTCTACCTTTAGAAGGTTCTATCTGACCTACTATATTCTAGGCATAAGTGAACATCTCCTACATCTGGCTAAAGTAACTATCCTATTTGCCTTTAATTTTACTTTTTAAAGCCTAGACCTTAGTTTAATAGTTACTAGGCTGAAATACTAATTTTCACATTTGTTAAATTTGTATTCCTGCTTCATTTTGGTGGTGATCTAGAAAAAATGACAAAAAATCAATAGTTTCAGTGTCTACTCTATATATATATATATATATAATGCCAACATAGAGATGACATTTAATTTTCACGCTAGTTATAATTTTAAATGAATATAAAAAATTAATTTAATTTGTTTTTTTCTTTTTTTTAATGAGGATTTCTCTTAAATTTTTGTGCCAGTGTATTATTATGGTCACATAAGTCATGTGTACATTTATTTAAACAATTACTCCAACAAATATTAAATGATTTTGCCGTCAATATATCCTTTGTTAAAACTACAGCATGGTCTTACAAACTAGAGAGTCAAATTTCTTCAAGAGGTGAGCATTAATTAATCAATCAAGATTTTAACGCTTTAAAATCATCAATTTCATCAGCCATCAACAAACTCTTTAATTTGATTGTGATGTTCAAACTAACCAATCACTCAATATTTTTAACTCTAAAACCATGACAATTATCAACCCTTCTCAAATTTAATCCAATCTTTTCAAAGAATATTCCAAACTCTGGCCACATTAATCAAATTCTATCACTCGCTAACTATCAACTATTTTCTTTTAAGCATTTTAACAGACATTTGGTAGACACTTTAGAATATTGCTAGGATAAATCAAACTTCTTTTCCTCTCCAATTAAACAACCTCCAGAGCAACAACCTAAGCTTTTATAATTACTATTACTACTTTTAACAAAATGAGAATGGGTCTATGAAAAAAAATACCTCAAGCAAACGAAAAAACGCAATGGTTGTTAATTAGAGGACCGACACAAAAACAACCAAATGGGAAAGTCTCTAGTATGAATCCTCAAGAAGGGTTATATATGCAAAACGAAAATTAGCAAATAAAAAAAATGAAAAAAATAAATTAACGACACAAAAAGCTTCCATATATATATATATATAAATATAAAATACCATCAAGTGATGAAATGTAGAGAAGGGCGGCAAGCCGGCAACAGCGCTGAAGAGGGAACTTGGCTTATAAAATTGTACGGCTTTATTCAAGTTTTTATATTATACATGGATTTATAAAAAAAAATAATACAATGATAATTTTATTGCATATCTAATATTTTTTGCTCTCTATTGTGTAATATAAAGACCGTTAATAATTTTATAGAAATTAATTTTTAAAAAAAATTAATTCATGCTTTTAATTTTTTTTAAAGTTATGCTCAATGGCACTCATTAAATATAGAGGAACTAAATATTATGAGGTTATTTAGTTAGTTATAAAATGTTAAAAATGACATTTGGAAATAAAAAAATTATTAGACAACTTAAAAAAATGACTGATAACAATGTCCATATAAAAAAAGTTTTTATAATAAGTGGATCCGAAGGACAACCATGATAATGATATAAATGTATAGGAATGAATTTCCGGCAATGAAAACTTTCCCTTTTTTTTGTTTTTTTTTTTAAATTTTGATGTGATATATATATGGAGATAGAACGTAGAAGGGACCAAAGGAACAAAAGACAAAACTAATGTCATGGATCTCCTAAACTCTCAGGTCAATTCCAAAATGGGATCTTTGATCTCTTTACGCACCAAAACGCCACTCTAATAAATAATTTTGTTGGACTATTTTTCCCTTATTTTTCTTATGTGAAATTTCAGTCTTCAATAATTTAAATGATTGTGCTTCACGGATAATTTGATCTCCCAAATACTCATCGAAAACTATATTTGTTAATATTTTTGCTATGTATTGTGTTGTGCTTACCTACGTATTATTTCATATGATTTGTCTGTCTAGATAAATTTCCTTCAATTGAGTTTTCATGTATAAAGGCTTAAATGTTGATCATGTATTCATGTATGCCCATTTAAATTATTAAAGTTAAGAGCTTATAATATTTCAAATCCAATTTTTTAATAATATATACTCTAAACTTAGTTTTCTTCGTGATCCGATGTATTTTTTATTAATAGAATTCACTTGATATATCTTATTGATTAATAGTTAGGTGAAATCCATTTCATCCCCTAATTTATGATTTCATACTAAATTTATATATTTTTCCAAGTATTTTCATTTGACCTTTTGGCCAACGCAAATGATGCATAAAATGTTGCCAAAACCACGAGCATAATATAACATCTTTAATGTTGATAATTTGATGTAATTAATCGCGCCTGGAATATATTGGCTAATTACAAGCAGTTAATTTGTTTCTTTTATGAACTTAATTATATTATATATTGAGAATAAGAAAATTTCCATTCAACCAATTTTTTCAATGTAAAATACAGAAAGAAATTATCACATACATTTGAACAAGCTGCGTTGGATGAATCACGAAATGAATGGAAGATTTAGTTTTGATCTTTTCCATGTTGTCATAATTTTATATTAATCCATGTCCAAATGCTATAACTCCTTTAATTCAAATATCATTAAGTGTATCATTAAAATGATTAGGACAAAAGTGTCAAATTAGGGGTTTTTTTTTTTGGGTGAGGCTACTGAGATACAATCATACATTTGCATTAAAAAGTTTTAAAAAAAACTTATAAAGAAATATTAGCATTTTTCTATATATAGTAACAACTTTAAATCGAATAAACCAAAATTAGAATGACTTTACTAAAACATCTGCCCAAGAGAGAGAAAAAGGTCGACCCCGTAATCGTTTGAAGAAAGCGTGATTTTAATTAAGCTAATAGTAATCAAGGTGGGAGGAAAAAAACCTAATAGTAATAATAAAAAGTTAAAATGACCTTTTTAGGGAATAATGATAAGTTCGGTCAAAAGCTGGCCATGTTCTATATATTACACTATAATTAATATATTTAACGAATTCATCGTTCAATCTCGAGAAATCAGATAATGATCCTATGATCTATCACCCTCCTCCTCCTTCTCATCCTCCTCCCTCTTCCATAGCCTCCAAAAACTTGGTCAATCCTCTCTCTCTCTCTCTGCTAGAAAGGTAGAGAGAAAAGGTAACTGCATTCCACAGTAGTAATATTCCAATCACACTTGGGAACTAAACTCTTGTCTCGATGATTCCCATTTTTCTTTTATTTTTTCAGAGAATATTATTATAGTTCTTGTTTTCTGCTTAAAATACAGACAAGTGCCTCTCTCTCTCTCTCTCTCATCCCCCTCCTCCACATATAAAAACACAGACACGCTTGTGTTTTAGACAGCAGGCCTGCATTATATTCACATCATAGAGTAATGAATTGAATTGAATTGAATATTTTTTATCAGACAAGAAGGGTATGTTCTGTTCTGTTATCATCGTCTACTTTTTTTGTAGAGCGGGCCGGCACAGAGACAAAGATCTCTTGAGGGTGTTGTTCTATATTGTCGTAGCAGCTTTCTATGTTTTTTTTATATTATATTTTTGAATGGATGGATGCAAAAGGGGTTAATTGTTAATCGTGAAGTTTGATTTTGTGTTTAGAGGGTGTTTGTTATATTGCAGCAAACACACAGAAAAGAGAGGTCTCAGGCATGGAAGCAGCCAAAGTTCCTGGAGGAGAGATTCGGAGACTTCATATCATCTACTTTCTCAGTCGATCAGGCTGTCGTATTGAGCATCCTCATCTCATTCGTGTTCACCATCTTGCTCGAAATGGAGTCTATCTCCGAGGTAGCTTTTTGTTTTAGTTCATGTTTTCACCCTGTTTTTTATTTCATTTCAGCCTTCTCTGTTTTCTGAAAATAGCCTTGTTGGGTTTTCAACTTATGGTTGATATTTAAGGAAACTGAGTTTCTCACACCTGATTCTCTCATAAAAGATGTCTGCTCATTCGTTTCACCTTCATCTGCTTGTTTCTTACTGGATTATGAACAATCAGGTCAAAAGATGAGTCTCTCAAATTTATTTTCTCTGTGGCAAACAGATATTAAGAGGTGGCTTGGTGAATTGAGAGGAAAGGAATTGCCAGAAGCTTTTGCTTGGTCATATAAGAGGTTCAATCCCACCTCCATCTCAATTTTTTTGCCCATTTTCTGTTTTTTTTTCTTCACTTACTTCCCTTTGGCCTTCTATAGGTGATTGAGGATCATTGTCCTCCAATACAATTGATATTAGGATCATTTTTTGAAGGCCAAAATATAGTTTTGCTCTAAAATCTTTTATCCTTTGATAATTCTCTGGTATTGTTTCTGCACATCAGAAGAATGAACTGGTGCATATTTATTTTCGTGAGTTGTCCCGAACTAACTGATATAGGACCCATGTTTGGAGGATCAAAATAGGGGCTCTTGTGTTTCTCTTTTTCTTCTCTACCAATCCAACTGTCTATTTCAGCGATCAATTGTACCTGACCAATATTGATTGGCAGGAGGTACAAGGCTGGTTATGTCTGGCAAGATTTGTTAGATGACGACCTCATCACCCCCATCTCTGACAATGAATACGTCCTCAAAGGATCACAAATCAGCCCCACCCTACTGGGTCTGTACTTTCTCTTGAAACTGCAATTAATTACTCTTTCCTCACTTTAATTTATAATCCATTTGTACATAAAGTATGGCCACCCATAATGTTTGCAAACCCAGAAAATTTTTCCTCCATAGGCATTTTCTAACCATAGTGTTTCCAAAAATGAAAATGTATTGGATTACGCAGAAACTGGTTCACTTGGTGCTGTTGATAAGAAAGCTTCCATTCCAAGGCAGCAACAATGTTTGAAAGAAGAACCGAAGATTCAAACATACCCACAATCTGCAACAGATACTCCCAGCAAAGTATCATCAGAAATCAGCCAGGAATCAGACAGGTCAACCTTAACTGATGAATATGATTGTTCGAAGTTTGAACAGAACCCTGATGAACAAAGCTCTGAGAGGCTGACTGAGAATTACACTTTGCCTCCTTTGTATCAACATCTATTGAACAGGAAAAGTAGGAAACAGAGGACAGAAGATGAGATAGTGAACAATAACAAAACCGATGCGCCTGATGATTCATCCTTCTCTACGTCATCGTCGTCATCATCTTCTTCAAAATTCTCCTTTGACAAGTGCAGAAGCAATTCAACTAGGGGTTCTTTTGTGTTTCGCAACTTGATCACTTGTGGGAATGCGGATGTCAGCGATGCAGTTCTAGTCATGTTGAACAAAAAGGGATCAAACAAGCCTAATAATGGTGAACTTAGTTCTGAGATTTGTAAACGGGATAAATTGGGAGGATCAGCTACGGGCTTTGCAAATTCCTGGAGTCATCAGAAACATCAGCAATATGGAGCCAGGTGAGAAAATTTCAAATGAAAAAAAAATTCAAGTCCAATTTCGAGGGAAAATTGAGGGAAAATGCTGATTGAAAATTTTATTAGTGAGAAAAATCTGATAAATTTTTCTAAATTTATAAATGATAAATTTCTATGTATAAATTTTTATACGGAGAAAGTAGTAGTACTTTGCAAATTTTATACACAGCACCGGAATTCTAATTTAGGTCATCTTGCTAGTAAAGCTTTCAATAAATGACTTTTGCCCCAAATTTCCCCAGTTTTTTATAAAATAAAAACATTATTAAATTTTTGCTTGGCATATCATGTTTATTAGAGAACTAAACAAGAAGCTCTTGGTACATAAGTTTTGTCTGTTTCGAGATAAGTTCCTGATCTTGTAAATCGGTATCAATGATCACTAGACCTAGACAATGCCAATTGGATGTCTTCTGTGAATGGTGTACTGATTTTAGATATTTGCGTTCAATTAGGCTTTTTTAATTATGTATTAATTTATTTGCTTCAAGGTTTTTTAAATGAGTGATGTGGGACCATGTGCTTGATTTTATGAAACACTGTAATGTTTTAAGTAACTATCTCCTAGTAACAAGAGAAATTGTGTGATTTGATGCATTGAACTTCGTTTTTAGCAGAAGAAGCTATGATGGAGGCGAAACAAACAAGAACAAGAAGAAGCCGGGCGAGTTCATGACTCAAAATCATCCAAAACCATTTGGTGGACCAACATGCTCGTAAGTGACTAAACTCGTTGACCTCTCTTGTCTTTCTTCTATTACCATTTCAGCAAGATGGAGTTGAGATTTTTTTTTGGGGGGGTAAAGAAGGGAGTTGATAATTATGTTCTTCAAAGATAAGTCATTTCTCAAGGCATTCAATGTTTTTATATTTGATATTTCAAATCCCCAAAATATACTTTATCTTGATGCTTGGATAAATAATGACTTTCAGAACTTAAAACTTTGTGAGCTATTGGTTAGGTCACACAGTCATTTCTTCTAAAGGTGAGAATGTTATGGCAGACGGAAACGATAACTCAAATTAAATTAAATATGTTCTCAGATTTGAGTGCCAAAAAAAAAAATCAAATTCAGTCAACGAGTAATTATACTGAAAATTATGGTGATTTTAGTGGGGTATAATAGGATAACCACTGACTAGTGGAAGGTAATATAAGATACAACATATGACAACTAGAATAAACCAAGTCAAAACTGCTTCCCTGCAGAATCTGACAAGTGGCATAAGTTAATCAAAGTCAGAATCAACGAGCAAGTTGACTTTTTTTAGATGAATGTTTGAATAATGTAATAGCAACTAAATGCACAAGCATGATTAATTGTGAAGTGGATATGATGATGCAGGCAATGCGGGAAGAAGTTCAGGCCAGAGAAAATGCACAAGCACATGAAGTCATGCAGAGGAATGAAATCCTTGTCAAAATCTGCTGAGAAGACAGCACCTCCCAGATCATCAACTTCCTCCAACACAGATTCCACAAGCTTCCTGCCTATTAAAATATGAAATAATGCTTGGCTTCTATGTTCCCTGTAGCTTCTTATCTTAAACTTGGCAGTGCTCAATGATATCAAGAGATTCTTTGATAACTTTAGTTTACATAAATAAATTAATCAAATCACTCTTCCAAAATCTAGCATGGGACTCGGAGAGTATTTGAATGGAATCAAAACCATAATTTTAAAAATATTTTTACGATATACAAAATAAATATGCGGAAGAGTTTATCTTAATTTACAAAAAAATATTTTTAAAAAATACTTTTTATGGTTATCAAACACCCCCTCAATTGACTTACTAAGCACACAGCTTGCCAGGAAGCAAGGGAAAACCAGGACAATAAATAATTGCAAATAGGGGGAATAATTCAGGCAACAGCCAAACAACAGCTAAAGTATGTTTGACATGGATTGACATAAATTTAGATTAATAATAATAGTTACACACATGATCAGAGTACAGCTCCAGGGCAAAATATATATATATATATTTATATCTTGGGCATAAACATATGTTGCCTGAAGAGATCAGATTAGATTAGCCGTATAAACAAGGATAGAGATGCATCCTCGGATGAAAACTCAACACTATCACCTACTAGTGTCAGATGTCAGAAGTAAACAGTGTGTCAGATGAGAACACCATTTCCAATTTGTCCAATAAGTTCTCTTCATGAATAACCAATTCTTTAAATGCGACACCGTATCATATCGGATACGCTACATAATTGGTCGTGTTGCAGAAGCTGTTTCACGCCATATTATGTATCTATGTCAGTATGTGTGGTTTTGGGACATTTGCTTATTACTTGCTAGAGGGAATGGCAGAATTAACACGCTCCAACAGAAATCCATATAAACTTTTCCTAAGGTTTTCTACCCTACCGTCAACTTTGTCTCCGCCGCCAACCAAAGCATCTAACCAGTGATTCACCTTCTTGAGCTGTCCAAGAAGGCATGCTATCTCACTTCTTCCTTCCTCACTTCTTAACCCAAATCCACTATCCAAAGAATCCTCCAAATACTTCAAAAACCATTCCTGGGAAGCCACGAGTAGTTTCTCGGCCAAACTTGCTGCCTCTTTCAATCTGCTTTCTCTCCCTTGATCTACCTTTTCGGCATCCTTGCTCTTGGCTACTTGCAGATGCCTCTTCGAAGAAGGAACTCTTTTAACTGTTGTAGTAGGCTTCTGCTTGCTCTGAGAAGTGTTTTCGGTGTTCATTTCATCACGAGAATTTTCAATGACAATATAATGACATTTCTCACCATTCAAAGACTCTGCTTTTGCTTGTGTCCTGAAAAGATTGAACTTGGAAAGATTAGTTTGCAAGGCAGCTTGTACCCAAGTCACAGCATTCTTATTACTGGGAGCTTTGCACAACACATCTTCGCTTGGCTTTTTCTCAGGAGTGAGCATTAGTAAAGGATCAAGCACCATTCTTGCCCTCTGCAAATTCAGATGAAGGTCCAGGAACTTTTCCACAAGTGATCCAGCAGAAAGTGTCTGAGAAGACTGACAGAGTTCCGTAAAGACGCTGACAAAGTAAACTTAGTTATTGTAGTGGATGAAATTATGAACCAAGAATAAGATGGAGCAAAGAAAATTCAAATAATATTGTTAGGCCAAAGTGACAAATTTCCTCCCACGTATATCAACTTAAACAGATGATTCTGACAACCATGCAAGTGAATTTAAAATGAATACACTCATGAAATAAGTGAAACAACCGGATATTAAAAAACAAGTATCATGGGTAGTCAATATGCATGTCACAGGACAAGAGAGATGCAATTTTCCCAATAATATGCAGGAAGCACATAAAGGAGGCTAAGCATTATGCAAAAACATACCACATGCATTGGATCACAGTATCTGAAGCTGAAGCTTCTTCAAGGGCACGTACAGCAGCCAAAAAGGCAATGTTCTTATGACTTGCAACTTTCTGGAAAGTGAAGAAACCGAAGTCAAAATCTGAACCATAAGGAGTTAAAACATGGTAGTTCTCAACAAGAAGTTGGATCCCATACCTTTCCAAGGTTACATAGAATAGGAGGAAGGCTATCCCAAGTTGTAGATGGATCAAACTGAGTCTTGACATTGAGAGGCACCTTAACAAGATTGCCACGAACGTTACCCGTACAAGGCGATAACCTAGTACTTTGTGGCTGAGGCGTACTAGTTAATTTTGGAGAAAAGTTCTCATTTTTGTTCTTTAAGGGTGAGATAGTTGGGGTTGGAGGCTTGAGTGGAGAATCATTTTTAAGAGAAGCCTTCTTGTCAATCACCTACAGCAATAGCTGATCCATAAGTTCCACAAAAATTACAAATAAACGACAGGGATAAAGAACAAGGGCAAGACTCAAGTAAATTCGTTAGATCATAGCTAATAAGAGCTTCAAAAAAGAGCACCTCGAGTGGACATTTAGTGCAATCCAACCTACTTAATTGACACCATAGATAGTTCGTTGACATGTCATAAATTTATAGAAGAACTTGAAAGTAAGCGTCTAAAATTTTAATAAAAACATTTGCCAAAAACAAGCACTATTATTACACAACAACCGAAGGACCTACAAAGAGACATCGAAGAGATATTGAGCTCATACATTGATGAAATGCTACATCAGTCAATTCACTTGGTACTGGACTCCGAGATTTTTGGGTAGATCCAATAATGGGTAAGACAAATCATCAATTATGAATATATAAAAATATTTTCTAGGATGAGTTCTACAGAAAGTTGTGTCTGGCATGCTCTTCATGATGCGTTCAGTCATTTTCTCTTTTGCATAATTTTTCTCATATAATTTACCTAGTCATCATTAAAAGCTTGCGATAATCTGTTTACAAGGCCCCAGGGACATAAACTTTTCAAAAGCAAGAGAGTGGTGAGGGCCCTCAATCATCACCAATAGCAATATCTGAAACAAATGTTTATGATAAGTGAAGCCCCTTGGGGTTAAACACTATAGCGAAAGTAATTCTCGAAGTTACAGCAAAACCTTTTACTTCAAGCAGTACTTTCCCAAGGAGAAACAGAGCAGCACCACCATGCCAACAGAGAAAGCAAAAGAGAAAAAGAAAAAGTTTTCATTTTTTTTCAGACAAAAAGACGAGGCAGAGAAGGAAGACAAAGAAACACACATTGGATGAAGTCGAGGTAGATTTCGATTTGAATCGTGAAGTGGGAGTCCCTGGACTCTGATCCCAAGCCCTTCTAGCCGAATCCAAGCTCAACCTTCTCATCTCCAAACCATTGTTCTTCAATGGCGAACCCTCTTTCGACTTAACAACACCCACCATTTTCTTCACTCCATTCTTGCTTCCTTTCTTTGGTTTTCTGAAATCGAGATTTGAACCAATAGTAAGGGAGTCACTTGAGTTCAAATCTACAGGATTTCCAACACAGGGCCTTCTGTTCGGAACAGGTTTCAAGCCGGAAAGAACGGGAACAGGGGAAGCAGAGTCGAGGTCGAGGCGAGTAACGTAAACGAACTGACCAAGTTGGATCTTGTCGCTGTAAATCAAATCCACGTCCTCGTCGGAAATAGAAACGTACGCGGAGTGCTTGGAGTCGGATACTTTAAGGAAGTACCCTCTGCTCTGCCAGGGATCGTCCCCTCCAGCGAAACAGGGCACAATCTCAATCACCTGAAGCAGAGCAGAACGGTGCTCGCCGGTGACCCTCACATTTTTGTTTCCCGCATTCTCCAGAAGCTTGGACAGAACCCCGGGAGTAAGAGACGCCATGGGATAGCTTGTTGAAGCTGTTCTCCTTCCTCGAAGACACTGCTTTTGGAACGTGAGAAGAAGCCGCGCATTAGAGGGGAAGACTGAAGAGAGAGGAGAAAGAATCGCTGTCGAATCTCAATGTGACATGGGAGAAGTCGCAGCTTTGGCAGAGGAAGACGACAGGTGTCAAAGGAAGATGTCTTTTTTGATGTAACTCGGCGAATTGAAGTTCGAGAGCATAGAGATATGGGGAGAGAGGGAGAGAGGGAAAACGCAGGTTCTTAGGCTTATGCCCACAAAGCTAGTAAGGACAAAATCTACGAGGCTCTCCCACAAAATATTAAAAAAGCTGCGAATGGAGTAGGAGTCCTTAACTAATTAGTATTTTAATTAATATATTTTATTGAGCATGGAATTTTTGAATCATAAAGTATGTCACCCATGCCCGGTGCAATATACTTCTAGTATGCAATTAGCTAAACAATTACATTAAATATAATAGAATATTTAATTTTGAATACTTTTTAATAAATTTTCATTTTATTTTTATAAAATATAAGTAAAGTGAAATGATTTATAGTGAGTATTTTATTACATACAGATTTTGATGAGGTTTGAGGTTTCTGGCTCCGGGGGGTCCAGAGAGTCACAAGTGAGAGCCGATGAGCATTGTTTGAGGCAGTGAGATTGTTGTGAAATGCTTAAATAAATGGATAGAATGAGGGAATTTTAAATATTTATTGTTTATTTTTTATGAGGAAAAAAATATATATTGTGGGGACCAGCCACTCTCAGCAGCCGCATTAGCATTGGCCAATGCATGCAGAGATGCAAATACTGTATTCAGTTTCAGAAATTTTTAAACCTTTGGCTTTTACCCTCTTTTTTTTTGTCAAGGAAAATTACGTAGAAGTCTCACAGAGGACAGTTTATTCATCTAAGATATCACAAAATGTCAAAATTATTGACAGGTCCCAAGGGACCTCAGAGTAATATATTTTACTTGTAAAATGACATTACTGCCCTTTACATTTCAAATTCACATTTGCTCTGTCATTGTGATTTACAACTTCAGCAGTGACTATTAACAACCCAATGAGATGGCGTTAACAATCTAAGCAGTATGCGTTAACAACTTACTTTATAGAATCATATAGCCTCCATATAAGAGTAAATTATAACCAAATAGTATAATACAACAACTTTAACACTAAAATAGGAAGCTTTTTGATATCATTAAGAATTTTAACTAAACCCAATAGGATTATAGCAACATTTTAATGCGAAGATCCATTTACAACATCAACGGTGAGTATTAATAACCTAAGGAGAACTGTTAACAACCTTAGCAGTGTCTATTAACAACTAACTTTATCGGATAATATAACTTCTAATTATAACTAACTAAATTATAACTAACTAAATTATAACTAAATAGTGTTAAAGTTAATCTTATATAGTTGTTAGAGGTTATATTATCCTATAAAGTCAGTTGTTAACAGATACTGTCTAGATTGTCAACAGTTCTCTTTGGGTTATTAATACTCACCATTGAGGTTGTAAATAGATCTTCACATTAAAATGTTGCTATAATCCTATTGGGTTTAGTTAAAATTCTTAATGATATCAAAAAGCTTCCCATTTTAGTGTTAAAGTTGTTGTATTATACTATTTGGTTATAATTTACTCTTATGTGGAGGTTATATGATTCTATAAAGTAAGTTGTTAACGGATACTGCTTAGGTTGTTAACGTCATCTCATTGGGTTGTTAATAGTCGCTGTTGAGGTTGTAAATTGCAATGACAGAGCAAATGTGAATTTGGAATCTGAGGGGCAGTAATATCATTTTACAACTAGAATATATTACTCTGAGGTCCCTTGGGACCTGTCAATGATTTTGACATTTTGTGAGACCTTAGATGAATAAAATCTCTTCTGTGAGACCTATACGTAATTTTTCCTTTTTTTTTAAGGCATTAAAAGTTATTGTCAGTCTAATTTTTCTAACAAGAGTGTAAGTGTGGTCTCAACCCTCAAGTTCCAAGCTTACTTTTTAAACCAAAAAAGAAGGGAAAACCATCCTGACAAGAGAAGAGTTTTCTCGAGTTGGTGGCTTATTGTAGGTGGCTCTTCAAATCAGCAGGATGAGGTTGCCACTCGTGGTGGCCTGTTTAGAGATTATAATGATTCTTCTGTCTATGTTCTTTCTTGGGAATTCTTGATGCCCTATGGATTGTTTGGTCTAAAAGTATTAGGAATCTTGTCATTGAATCTAATGTTGCTAATCTTATTCAAGAAATTAATTTATCTACTATTCATGAATTCAATTTAGTTTGGTCTGCATTAGAATTCCTCATTCAAAATTCTATCCTTGAGATATTTGTTTCAAATGTCTCTACTAGAGTTTATAATGGTCTTGCTGACACCTTTTTATATAAATAAAGAGGCAGGATTATAAATAAGATTGAACCAACACCTCCTATTTATAGAGGAGCATCAATACGGTTGGATTACAAGGTCTTTAACATTTATGCTAACACTTTAACACGCTTTAATTCCCTTATTGCGTCTGACAACATTCTGATTTGTATTTAGATGGTGGTGTTCATATTGATATACTTGGAATCAATTCCCATATGCTTTCTTAATTTAATAATAGGGTGTTTTCACCCTCCTTCTCATTAAAAAAAATAATTAACAAATTGACGGTGTCCATGTTTATGGACCGTTTCAAGTACTGCTTGTCCCCACACCAAAAAAAAAAAAAAACAGTAGTAACTTTTCATGAAAAAATGGCTTCTTAATAAATAATAAACACTCTCCAATCTGCTCTGTTACCATAATGTATTACTTGGAAAAAGTTGCTTTAAAAATGATTAAACTAAAAACAAATAAATATCACATATTGTTGGTTAATGTGGTGACCCACCAAAGATGGTACTATGGAAATTGCATGCCTGCCCTATCGACTCACTAGGAACTTTCGTCGTCTTTGAGTAACCTTTACACTACTGAGAATCATGTTACATGTACAAAGTTTTAGAAGATGTTGGGTCCCATGTGTGTGTGTGTGTGTGTGTGAACATATATTCGCATTACTATTTCTTTAAAGATAAATTTACTTCAATACTTCAGTTTATTTAAAGAATTTAGGGGGAAAAATAAAGGGAACTTAAATTTAAATGAGTAAAAAAAAAAAAGACAAAAAAACAAGTTGAAAATTACTAAATCCCAAATCAGGTTTGATAACATTTTATTTAATGCTAATAATACTGAATTTACAAATGAGAATAAATTTTTGTTGACATTGGTCATTTAGCATTTAATAATTTCAAACTTTTTTTTGTCATTTTCCCAATAAGTTATGGATACAAAGGTCATTTCAACTCACATTAGCATTCCATGTTTTTGAGGCTGGCTCCAATGACAGCCAAACATTTTTTTGGGCCTGATGACAGCCGAACATAACCTAACGGAAACGTGAGAAAAGGAAAGGAGAGAAAAGAATCAAAGGAATTTTTGCTTCCTACACAAAATTTTCATTTTGATGGAAACCAAACAAACAATTCTTGAGAAAGTAAAAGAACAAGGACTTTGAAAATGTTGACAAATAGGGAGAGCAACATATAACTGGATTAGGAGAAACTAACTTTGACTTAACCAAACACAAAACTTCAACCTTTTTGGGTAAGTGAAATTAAAATTCACCAATAACTTAAAAAGGACAGAACTGATATCCTTCCTACCTTGAGCCAGAAATTGAAATATAATAAAAGACATGCATTGTAAGGCAAACTTTATCTAACAATGTCTTTTCCCTTTGGCTTTATTCACATTTTGTCGTTTTCCCTTTGGCTTTTTTTTGTCATTTTCCCAATCTAACATGCACTGTAAAGCCAGAACTGATATCCACTCTTCTTTCCACCATCCCCTCAGGCAAGTGGAAAACGATCCGGTAATTGTTAGAATTTATAGTCTTTTACCATTTAACTTTGATAATATGACAATTTTTTTGGGGTAATTGTTGAGTATTTTTTTTTTTTGATTTTGTATTATTTTGTGAAAAATTAAAACTTTTGATCTCACTATGGGAAGAAACAAGCTTCTTCATTTATATGAGTTGTAACGCATGCAAACAGAGGGAAAAAAACTGCTATGCTATCAGTCACATTCAATATCCGACTGGCTTTAAATATGATTTGTTTGCAATAAAATGATACTCGTGTGCAAGTATAAATGTGAAGAAAAACGTTTTAAAGGATTATTACACAAAGCTATCACACAATTTTTTCTAATCACAATTACTTAATTATTATTAGTAATAGCCATTGGATGTCAAGAGATATCCGAAAGAGAAATTAAACCCTCTAACTCTGTGGATGAAAAATATCAATCTCTTTATGCTGCTATTACTGTAACTGGAAGTAATGAGTCTCGTTATTATTTATTTGATTGGAGCTGGGCCAGGAGGAACATGGTGATGGTCCAATTAGACTAGGCCATGGCCCATGAAACACTCTGGAAATTCCCAAAAAGTTGGTGTCATTTCCTTGTTGTTATTAATTTAGATCTGCATGTTCATTAAGGAAAAGGGTTAATCTTTCATCTTTCACAAATGGGCAATCAGAAAGCAGACATTTCACCTCTTTGAAAGGCCTCTAAACTAACCAACCCCTTGGTTTGCTCTTTAAGAAACTCAGCATTACCACACTTCTCTTCTTCTTTATTCTTAGAGAGCAATGATATATGTCTGAAAAACACTTCTTAGTGTCAGAATAGCATCCACAAGCCAATCCAACACACTCCAAGCTTGAGTTTTCTTTCTTCTTCACCAGAAAATGAACTCTCCATCCCCAGCAACCAAACACAGATATGACATCACCATGTCCAGAAGAACCAGAAAGCAAACGCCTTCTGAAAAACCCAGATCAGAAAGTAACACTGACTCAAAGAATAGAGAAAATGGAATTGTGGTGTCTCTGGAGAATCTTCTGCAGGTGAAAGATGGTGAACAGATAAATGACCATAAGAGCTTGAAGCAACTGATCAGAGGGGATAGTGAGAGTAATAATAATAATAAAGGAAGGAACTCACTGGGACAGCACTTCAATGAAGAAGAGAAGAATCTGCAGGTGGTGAAGAAGAATCAGAATGAGAGTGCACAAGAAGGCCTGAAGTTCAAGAAGCTGGTGCGACGTTATGCAAAGGTTCTTGGCCACATGATGAAGGCCAAGAGAGATCCTCATTTAGGTGAATCTGGAAAGAAACCTGTTTTCAAGTTACACAAGTAGGAAATTTTTGCTTAATCATCATCATCATCATCCTCCTTCTTTTCTTGTTCTGCAAGCATTAGCTGTACATCAGTTTGGTTTTTCAATCATTTTTGGCATATTCTGAATACTCTAGCTGTCATTTTTGATAGCATCAGGTTAGTGAATTTCGTCAATCCGTTTGTGTTAGATTTGATGTTTTATCGAATGTGTACTTGTTGGTCATCAAACGAGTCCATAAAGATAAATGTTGAATCTAATTAAACAGAATGATGAAATGTTTGGTGTCAAAATGACAGCCTGAGTATTCAAATATTTTGGAAAAAATAATTGAAGAACCAAATTATTATATGAACAGGTTAGTTTTTGCTCTGTTTTGAATATTTGCTTGATTATTGAGCGATCAAAACCATACCAAGATTGTTATTTGCCAGAGATATGTTGTAATATTTTTGTTTCTAGTAGTGGCTGCATTTTCCCCTCTCTCTCTGTCTCTCTCTCTCACTTTAAACTAGTAATTATGTTCACATAAATTATTAATACAGTCCTCTTTCTCTATTTTTATTTTTTTATGTAATCTGGGGGAAATCAATTTGTTAAAGAAAGTAAAGACCGAAGAAAGTGGTCCAAGTTTATTTCAAAAGGATACTAACGTGGCCATTATTTTTGGGCTTGATTTTGCTTTCCACTTAAACTTGAATTCAAATATTTTTAGCTTAGAAGACAGTCCTAATATCACTGAATCAAACTTCATTCATGAGAAGAACCCTAATAAAGATTAGAAATCAAAATATCATTGGTCAGATCACACCACGTAATTTTAATTTTATACGTTTAGATGGCAGATCCATCATCTCTGTATTTATATTATAAGTCAGCATAAGTGTTTTCTTTTTTTAAGCGCATTATGATATGAGACTTTCTTTGAGTACACGATGCCATGGTAACATTATCAAACGCCAATCGAATAGCTTTTATGAGACATGGGAAACACATGTAAACAATTCTAGTTCCAGCATAGCTATAAGCTACCTATCCATTCTAGAGCCATCTTCTTCATTCGTTTCAATAAAGTTGTAATTTTTTAACATAAAAAGTATGAAGAGTTGGACAATTTTGACATGTCAAAAGGAAAAAAAGCCAAGACTTTTATTTATTCAATCTAGAATGCGTAGATTGCCAGCATCGTATCTGCAATATTCACGTTACGGATCTGACAAGTAACTCTCATGAAGAATCATCAATACCCATTAATTTACCTTGTTTATCACTTTACATACCCACAACACAAACCAAGAGTTCTGTATCATAAAACTTAACCAGTAAGATTGTCTATCAGAACTATAACTTTCTGCTTAAAATAACCCAGAAAATGCAGAGAAATCATCTTTCTCCCTTCCTTAAGATTTCAGTTTGGTGCTGAATGTCAAAATATTACAAGCTTCCTGTCACTACTTTTTATATTTCAGCCCTGCAAAGTTCAAACTGTGTCTACACGAAACTGAGAAAGAACTTTCCTTTGAATGAAATTTGGAGGCTTTACATATTTACATTCATATTTTTCAGATGAATTAGTGGAGGCTTAATAGATGTAAATATCTCGCTAGAAAATAATGAAGAACTTCTTGAGGGCTTCAATGTATAGTGCCTTTTGCACAACCTGATATATCAGAGAAGTGAAGCAGAATGACTTTCCAATCTTCACGGGCATTGAAGGACTACTCTAATAATGGCTCCAACAAAGGCTTGGGACGAGAGTGAAGATCCATAGTGACGGTGACTAAAACCCCAGCTAGCGAACAAATTGCTGGAAATAGTCCCAAACCAAATCTTGTGATTGACATGGGGAATTGTGTTCCATGGAGTTGATGGGAGGTATCTGCGTTAATGATTTGAAAGACCGTGAACTCAAATATTCAGAAAAAAACTTTCTACAGAAGGTGCTATAAACACAAGATTATTGACCAACAGTACTATTAGCGAGTTCCTTGAATATCAAACAACGAAGGTTTCATGAAGCACGGTGTTAATTCATCTAAGCATTTGAATTTCATACTACTGAATAATCTGAAGCACCTTAAGAAATCTTCTTCGTTTTATTAATATCGTCAAGGATAAGTTCAACTCAAACTTTCACACAAGGAACACAAGCCGTTTTGTCATACTCACTAACACCATGACACCGAAGTTCATTAAGCTTAAGATATATGATAGCATGAATCAACCATACATTGTGCTGATATATTGATACTAAGAACGAGAGGCGGCAAAGAACTGACTTCTAATTCTTAATCTTTTTCTGTAAAGGCCTAGAGATGCAAATATATCTGACAAATACCAATCTAGTTTGGCAAGGTTTATAAATAAATACAAACTGTAAATCTAATTACAACCATGTCTTTGCTCGAAAATTAAAATGCATTGGTTATAAATTCTAGGTAGGCATTAATCACTATAAGACCCACAGAAGAAAGTAAAGAAAGCGCTGGCTTGCAGACAATAGGCATAGATTAAGCATCTAGGCATTCAGAACTAGAATTAAAGCAGTGATTGTTTACCCCACTTACTTTGATAAGACTGAAGAATATATAAAGCAATGCCACATGAAATTTTGTCCAAGAAGCTCAGTGATCCACAAACAAATGCACAGCCATTAAGATCCTCTCCAATGAGAACATTTTGCATGCTTACTCCAGTCACCTATTGTACAAGCCAATAAATATCCATATATCATGCATGGTTTACAGTAGCTTGAGCCATGTTAGTTAAATCCTGGGGCAGCGATATCCATTCTAGTGTTTTCTCTACTTTAGAAAAAAAATGGCTAAAATTTAAAACCAAGCAAAAGACGAGTCCTGCTTACATGTAACTTCTACTAATTAACAAAGTATACTTACAACATGACAGAACATAGGAAGAAGGAAACAACGGAGAGTGTAGAAATTAAGTGTTCTTAGGAGGTTATAAATATTAAACTTTCTTTGAAGAATTAGATAAGCTTAAGTGCTTGTGCACAACAAATCCCTAGAAACACAATCCTTTTTGGTTACTAGGAGTGCTTCATATGAATCTATTAGGACGAGGTTAATAATGAACTGTTTTTATCCTATCGTTCTCCTTATTTACTAGTCTCTTTTTGTTCCAATCTTTATTAAGGGACAAAGACATGGTCACTAAAATGAATACTGGGTCATTTATCTGAAATCTTAAGAGTTGGGACATTGTTACTAATATAATGCAAGAGGTCCAATAAGTTTGCCCCACCGAGTCAAGCGGCCTATAGTTAAAGCAGTTTTCTCTGTAATATGGCCGCACAAACTGATCCTCCTTCAGGCTCATTTTATTGCCTAATGTCAACACGTCCAGCTAACAAGTAAAATGGAAAGTACAATACTGGGATACCCTCTTTCGATAAGTAAATGATGTAAAAATAATGTCATACCATCATCAATGCATTTGCTATGCCAATAAATACTGATGCTATATACATGGCATAACTCATATGTCTGGGCAAAAGAAGAACCACAACACCACAAAGTATCCAAAGAATGCCTCCAGCAGAGAAATAGGCCTTAAGACGTGGGCCAGTCCATGCAATCTCCTGAAGAAAGGGAACTAGTTTAACAATGGAAATTAACAAAAAGAACATCAAAATCCACAAAAGAGTGCTTATTTTATATAGGGACCTGTAAAAGTATAGATACGATGAAGCTGCAGATGTAGATGATAGCAGGAACCTAATTCCATCATCAGACAACACAATCAGCCATTAGTGTCATGATCCAAAGCGCATGTGTTCAGCAGAATCAAGTGATTTTAAAGAAAACGATATTTGTCATTTACCAAAGCTTTGGCTGATTGGCCCATTTGTAGATCATTGATAACGAAGAATGCAAGGTATGCCTGTGGAAAAGAAACCACTTTGACTTTTAAATATACCATCCATCCATGTGTTACTGTTAGTTTTCTTTGAAAATCCAAATTAGGGCATCAAGAATGCAAGGTATGCCTGTGGAACGATAACCATCAGGGTGTTTAAAATACCATCCATCCACCCATGTCTTATGGTTATTTTGTTCCGAAAATCCAAACTAAGGCATCAAGTTTCTCTCTTGTTCGTGTTCCCTGTACATTATAGAACCCCATGATGTTGCAAATCCATGGTATGTACCCAGAGAGTTAGCAATAGAAAAGGAAAGGAAGAAAAAAATGGATGGGGAATAACCTCATATAAAAAGGGGCAGAGACAGTGGAGATTAAAACAAGGGCATGATAGACAATGCATATAAAACTTCTTGTTTTTCATGAATTCCTCCTCTCCATCTCCCTAGTACCCAACATGACCTAAATATATTCTTCCTCCAGACTAAAAATAGAAAATTTTTCTTTCTTCCTATTTCAAGATCACCAGCACAACTAAGCAAGAAAGGACGAGTACTAACCTGCGACACATTGACAATTAATCTTGTGAGAACATAAACAAGAGCAACCTGATAATACAAAACTCTCTTAAACCAATAAACCCAAGAAATTCTTGCGTGAACCTTTCCTTGTACCCCAACCTTCAACCTACAAAGAAAAAGATAATAATGGGTTATTTCTCTTACTTGATAGCTATAACTACACAAGCAACCCATGTTGTGTAAAGTTTTCGTAAGGCAATGATAGAATTATTTGAACTATCAACAATGGTTGCTAGGGCTTCATCGAGCATGAATTTTGTAATAATATTGGCTTTTACTTAAACAAAGTTTATATTTGCCTCAGCAGTTGATTAGCCTAACTTTTAAATGCAGGCCTTACACCCTGTGTGTGTGTGTGTGTGTGTGTGATAACAGAGAAGAGAGAAAGTCCAGGAAAATGCATTCAACAACCGTAATGATTCCCAGTACACTGATTATAACCTCCCTCTCTATTCGCATCGCGCATATTCCCTCTCTCCTCTAACTAACTCTATATCCAACTTACCGATATGCCCTTCCCAAACAGATAAGACAAACTATAAGGTAACTATAAAATAACATAAGGAATAGCACGTATCAATACTCCCCCCCTCAAAAAGGATCCTTGTCCACAAGGATGGTGTTGGTCGGAGGAGCCTTAGTCTGGAATTGAGGAAATTGTTGTTGAATCACCTAAAGATCTTCCCAAGTAGCATCTTCAGCCTGAGAAAATTTCCAACGCACTAATACTTGCGTCACTGGTAGATGATTACGCTTGACAATCTTTCTGCCCAATATTTCTTCTGGTTCTAACATGAAGTTCCCTTGATCATCAATAGGTGGCAAAGTAGAGGCCACGTTAGCAACTGATCCAGCATGTTTCTTGAGGAGAGAGACATGGAAAACAGGGTGTACTCTAGTCTCGTTTGGTAATTGCAGCTTATAAGCAACAGGCCCCACTTTCTGAATAACTTTAAAAGGGCCAAAATAACGGGCAGCTAACTTGTGCAGGGAGGAATTATTGATTAAATTCCTGCGGAAAGGATG